CAGCCAAATTTCTTTCAAAAAACGTCTAGGACCGCAGGCTATCGTAAAACACGACGTGTTCTTCAATTCAACAGGACTCAGAGTTCACAGCTGCCAGTTCAGTGGTTCAGGTCTCTGAGATATAATCGAAGGCTTGGTGTGTATACACCTCCAGTGCAGCACAAAACATCTTTTCTGAGGGTTAGCGATATTGCTGACGTTGGCAGCATCGTTTGCATAAATGAATGTCCTACTGGAACCTCGTTCGATACGAGACATACCTAGAAGGTGAGATGGAACCGAATTGTTATCAACGGTTGAGTTAAGTTGACCAGCGAGGCCAATGTTCATAATATGAAGCAGTGGTTGTGGATGTGGCTGGTGTTCGACAAATGTCCCGGTAATTCTAATCCCAGTGTTAACGACATATTTATTGGTGAAAGTCGAGATCCAGACACTTGGATGATCAACATGGAAAATGTTGATAGGTTCAGTATCGTTTGTGAAAAACGATACGTTTTAGAAGGCCATGGTTATTCGGATTCTTCTATGGAAATGGACGACGGCAAACGTCCTTACTTTTGTTACATGCGATCGAGACCGATTTCTGTGACGAAGAAACTTTGTGGACTCACCGTGTACAAGGACACGACTTCCGGAGATGTAGAGGACATGATGAAAGGAGCTTATTATTTAGTTTTTGCGACCTTTCATGAATATGCAATGGAAGTTGCATTAAATGTACGAATGTGGTTCATAAGTGTTTAATAAAATGATATATATTCATTTTTCATTTCCCATTCCAGCATTACATGTTTGAAATTTTCCATTGCTCTGTGGAATGCATAACAGAAATTATAAACTGAAATTACACCTAAATTACATAGATTTTTATGGATATAAAAATAAAGTCGTTGGGATAAAGTCCCAGAAATTATCGTCTACTGGTTGTAATGTCGTCCAGATGCGGAAGTCCACCATGCTCTCTTGATTCCCAGACGTTTCCTGAGGTTGTGGTTGAACCTCATTTCCACTTCGAACACGTGATGCCACGGCGGAACCGTGTTCCGTCCGCAGTGTCGGACTTTTATCCATATCGGATTGTTTAGGTTCCAGTAATACTCCCCCACTTGTAGTTGTTGCCATGTGAGTGGCTCTCCTGTGGAGGAATCCATGATTTCGACAGTCGATCGTCTGGTAAATGATGCAGCCGCACGGTAGTGCAAGACGTCTAGGCTTGATGGCTAGACGTTTCTTCCGTTTGCATCGGTGATGCTCCGCTCCTATAGAAGGGGGTTTCGGCGAAGAAGAACTCTGCATTTCCTAGTGTCCAATTTTTCAAAGTTAAATTGGCATCTTGGTCTAGGAAAGCTTTATAAGAATATTATGCTGTGCCTGGATTGCACATCACGATTGATGGGATACCTCCTTTAATTTGAAATGGTTTGCCGTACTTCACATTGGAAACCCAGTTGTGCTGGGCGCCAATAAGCTCTTTCCAATGTTTCTTTTGCGGATACGAAGGGCTGATATCATCAATGACGTTATACCATACATTATTCGAAAACATTTTCGAATTGAAATCCATAAAGCCCATTATGTAATTATGTGGGCCTAACGATCTGGCCCAAATTGTTTTCCCAATTCTAGTTGGACCTTCCAGTATGAGACTCCTGGTTCTGTAAGGTCTGGATTCAGGTGCACGTATATTTTCGGAGGCCCATAACATAAACTATTCTGGAACATCGAACGATTCTTGACTGAACGGCGACATGTATTCCGGTATTGGTTCTGGAAATAATCTATCTGTATTTACAGATATGTTGTGATATTGTAAATAGAACGTTCTTGGATCATTCTTCCTGATAATATCTAGTAACTGTTTCTTTGATGTCCACGTTAATTTAGTTTCTTGATGATTTGACATGAAGATCTTGGCAATTTCATAAAGTTTAAGTTTGGATAAAGTTTCAACAAATGGTATTAGAGCCTATTCATGTTAAATAATTGGGAATCGAGATTTTTAATTTGGTTCTTGTATTTTATGGTTTTCA